AGTTTATCATAATTTTATGTCACACTTAAGATAGGATAAGAAGCACATTAGGCGATCAAAAGTGAAATGTCACTATAGCCTAACATAATTGAAATAAAATTTTAGTTTTGATCCAGTTTTTATAAGCAAAAATCTTTTCTGTTAGGGTTAATCAAGTCTAATTAAAGGATTAGTTTTTATGGTGAATGAAGGTTTAAATGTTCGTTAAAATTGTTGTCTACCTTTACCAATTATATCTTGAATAATATTATCTCAAAAGAATATATATATATATATATATGGAAAAAATGTTTTGGGGATCCTACCTCTGCTACAATGAAGATTCTACCGTGCTTTTGCAAGTGCTGTATCCTTTGAAGATTTAGGTGATTGAATTGGATATTTAATGTGTGTTTAAATTAGTTAATTAGAAAATTAGGTTGAGTTTTAGTTAATTTTTTAAATTAATTAAAAAACAACCTTTTAATTTTTTATTTAACTTAGATTTGTTTGTAAATAACACTAAAAAATAGAAAAATAAATTGCTAAACATATAAGAATAGTATTCAAGATTAACTAACTGAAATTACACATTTCAAAAGCGAAAACCAAACATACCCTTATTGGTGAAGGCTTGAAATAGAAAGAAAGCAAGGGAAAGTTACCTAGGTACTATCATGCATGTACAAGACTAATTAAACAAAGAATCAAAATCATTTTCTATTCATAATGTTCTTGGTTCTCTCCCAATGATGCTAGCTAGTGTTCACTATCCTCGGTCAACAGCTCAAGTCAAAATGAAAGGTATGACATTGTTTTCTACATCTATTTTTATACAGTGAGATAGAGATTTTGAAATTGCCATAATTATGTAAATTACGAGTGATTAGCGTAGAAAAAACAAACCCCTTGATGAGATACAAAAAGCTATACTATTTGTTTATTAATTAATTTCTCTTATAGCATGCTTATCTAAGGATGACAATTAAATGGATGTGAGTTTCAATATGTTTCATTGTCTTTGAATTTTTTTATTCTATACTCATTTCAATCTCTATTTTCATATTTTCATATTTAATATATATGAAATTTGTGTTTCATTTTTTATTCTGTCAAATATCAAGTATATCCGTATTTGTTTCATATTTAGATAGAAATTAATTAAATATTTTAAAAAAAAATTAAAAAATAAAAATTCTAACATAAAGTAATAATTACAATATTATGTTGATCAAGTTTTTTTTTTACAAAAATTTAAAATAAACTAAGAATTATTTAAATCTCAAATAAATTCAAAAAAATAAATAAATTATATTCTAAAATAAATTAGAATAAAGATAAAAATAAAAATGAGTACATGTATAATATATATATATATATATATATTATTCCTATATCCAATTTAATAAATTAAATATTATTTATACACATACTCATACTTAATCAAATTATATTTTGACTAATAAAATTGGGACAAATTTGAATATTACTGTACTGTATAGATTTATTTGTCATCCTACTTGAAGACACAACTTTTACGCGTAAGAAATGTGCTGCTGCGTAATTATTGCTTCAAACCTGAAATTTGCCCCCCAAGAATAAGATATTCGATCGTTTCAACTCTGGTTTTAGTCACGTTTCAAATCATTAATTTCCACAAACATTCTAAACGAATCTATACTGTACACATTGTGGTGTTTATTGATATATGTTAAACATTCAAAATCATATAATTTCACTTACTTCAACTTTTTAATTGTTATAAATTAAAATGGGTATTTTAGTTTTTATATTTAATTTTTTAATTATTTTTAATTCTTATAATATAACACAAATCTTTTAATCACTATTATTATTATTTTTTTTTTATAAATATCATCTCTTTTATATTGATATGAATAGATATTTTTAATTTTGTTAGAGTGAAAAACGTATCTTAATAATAAATGGCATATATGAAAGTATAAAAGAGGTTTGAAATATATCGAAGGACATAATTAATATAATATAAATTTAATAAATAATTTTGATATAAAAAAATACAAAGTTAAATATTTCTATTATATTGATACAAAAGAGATAATATTACAAAAGAATAAATAATAATAATTAAAAAAATAAATTTATTTATAAGTATAAAAATTAAAAAAAATTATTTTAAATTATAAAAACTAAAAAAATTATAAAAAAATTATAGAAATTAAAAATATTTGTTTAAATTATAAAAAAGTGATTTCTATTGTGCCTTCTTATTTCAAACTGTTTCATGTTAGACTAATTATTTTGCGACACATTATTTTTGATACGTAATCAACAATTATAGTCTTTGGGAATTTTGACAAATGGTAGCTCAAGTTTGAATGCTACTCCAAATTATTCAGTGAAGATCGAAGAAGCTACTCAGCCTCCGAATCAAACAAGAATAATTCAAAAACAAAAGGCGAAAAAGGGAGACATGGAGCGTCGAGGTCGGCGATTTTTATGCAAAAAGATTTTCATCAAGTTTAAATCATATTACTGTTATTGCAATTTCTGTGGATACAAAATAACTTAAATATGCTTTTCATATTTTTTTTGGTCTTTGTAATTTTTGTTTTACTTTTCATTTTTCTAAAATTTGTAAGCATTATTTTTGTAAAATGAGTAAATTTTAGTTTTTGAACTCTAATATATATATATATATATATATATTATGTGACATTAAAATTAACGGGTAAAATTGAAAAACTGTCAGTTGATCATGTTCTCAGTGATCATCAACTATGTTATTTCCTAAAGGATAAAAAAATTGTTGAAAATCTTTTATTTTAGATTTTATTGATCAGAAACTTCCAATAATTAGAAAAGTCTTGGCTAACATATTATTCTAAATAATAATTTGAAGAAATTAAAAATTAAATAGTTTTATTTCAAAAATTATTCATCAATATTTATTTTTAGAAGACAAAATATAATTTTTTTTTTTTTTGCATATTACCATTCACTTTTAATTATTTCAAATGTGAATATAATGGTAAGAGTCTCGTAAATGAGTTGAGTTTCACTTAATAAGGTTACAAGTTTAACTCTTATAAATGGAAGGAAAAAAATGAGAGGAGAATTAACTAAAAATATTCTATCAAATTAATTATAAGTAAGGAAATATTTTATACTAATAATGTAATTATTAAAAAAAAATAAAAAGTCCCCTAAAAAAAAAAAGTGGAACTTGTTGAAATCAATAGTTATAATTAGGGGGGTTTAAAATCAATTCAATCTAAATGAAAAATTACACATTGATTCAGAAAAATAAAAAAACAATCGATAGAAAATTACAAATTAGTGGTTTGGTTTGATTTTTAAATTTTCAAAATTACACAATTTCGTTTGATTTTTGGATTAAAAATCAAATCAAATCATACTAATTTATAAATATATATATTTTTCAAATGCATAGTATATGTATACAAAATAGACACAACATAAGGATACTTTATAAAATTGTAAGCTATTGAAATATATTTTTCTCTCCAAATACACATTATAATATTTAATTTTTATAAAATTATAAGTTACGAAACTGAATTTTAGAATGAAGAGATATTAATTATTTATAAGATTGAAAAATAAGTTTTTTTCAAGTGACAAACTATATATATGACAAAAATATTTAATATGATAACTAAAATATATTAAAAAAATACTTTTATGAAAATAATAAGATAAAAATTAGTATTTGTATATTATTAGTTTTACTTTTGATGTATAGTCTTAAACAAATAATATATTATTATATATTTTTATTTTATTTTTTAATAAACATTTTAACAAGCACAAAAAATCAAACAACAAAGGATTAGTTTGGTTTGGTTTAAATTTCAAAATTCATTCAAATCAAACCAAAATTTAAATTTTCTTATTTAGTTTAGATGACTTTTAGAACAAAAATCAAATTAAATCACACCGTTACAACATTATGATACCATATTGTGTATAAAAATAATTATAGGAGAGAAAAAGTGTATAACTAGATAATATAAATTAGTTATATATTATGATTCAATCACAAATTATTATATATAATAAGTTTATTAACTTTTAAAATATATAATTAAAAGTCATAACAATTACCATTTCTAATTGATTTATGGTATATATAATCATAATTAGAAATGGCAAAAGGCCCACAAAATTTTGGCGGGTTAAATTAGGTATCCTAGCCGTCTAGGTGGCGTGCTCCACCAAACTCCCTAGACCAAATAAAGGGTCGAGTTTGCAAACTTTTTCAATATTAAGTTTAAATAAGTTATAAAAGATTTATTATGTGAGTAATATGTAATTTGTTGTATAACAAATATGCTATGCATTCGATATATTTTATAATATGTAATTTGAGATTTTTCGTGCAACAAATTTATTAGAATAGTTTATTATAATAATTACATATTTATTTTATCATGTAGCAAGTTTGAGAATTATTGTACAAAAAATTAAATCAAATATGTTATAATTTAAAGTTTATTTTATTATTTAAGTAAACTAATTTATATGAGTTTTTTTAGATATTAAGAAAGAAATATATTTAAATAAGTATTTAAAATAAATATGTAGACTTTTTTTTTAATAAATATTTTTGGGCGACTGACAATGGGTTGAACTGACCTCCTTTTTCATTCATAATCATAATAACAATAAAAAAATATTGTTCGATTTAAATGATATTAAACTCAATCTTTTAAGTAAAATTTCAAATTTAAATTATTTATATAATATATATAGAAAATACATGGTTAGGAGGGAAGATTTCATTAAAGGTTATCAACATGTTCATGACAAAAATTATTTAGTAACACATACTTCGTCCCCCAATGACATAGTTATTCAAAAATATCATGAAAGTCATTTTAAAAAATAGTGTATAAAAACAATACGTAAACATCGTTATTGGTTAAGAAGTCACAACCACCAAAATCCAAAGTCCAAGTGTTATTGGGATATAAACAACATGCATTATTATTCTTCAAGCACACAGACTCCGTTGCTTCCGAAAACCGCGATTCTCGAACCTATCTATCTCCTAAGAAACATGGCTAGTGATTTTCCTTCACGTGTTCAATCATCCCAACTTGAACACGAACATGAACATGCTAGTTCCCACATTCTGGCGAATGTTTCCGACCACGAAACCTTTCACGCATCCTCGTACAATCCGTTTCCGAGCCCCACGTGCATCCATGACGCGATGCAATCATGGGCATGCAAAACCGAAGCGCCCGCGGAAGCGCGTGAGGTGCACGCGCCTCCGATGTGGAAGCGCTTCCGGGGCGTGAGGCGGAGGCCGTGGGGGAAGTTCGCGGCGGAGATATGGGATTCGAGGACGAAGAGTGGAAGGGTTTGGCTGGGGACATATGAGACTGAGGAAGAAGCTGGTTTGGCTTATGATAGAGCTGCTTTTAAGATGCGTGGTAGCAAAGCAAAGTTGAATTTTCCGCACTTGATTGGCTCCCACGCGCCACCGGAGAGAGTGGGAGTGGCGGCGGGCTCGAAGCGGCGGTCGCCGGAGCCTTGTTTGGCTGCCATGGAGCATGGATCACGGCCACAAGGGTCGAAGAGGAGGAGTAACCTAGCTGAGTTGCTTAATAGATTGGCCAAGAACAGAAGCCTAGTGTGTGTTCCAAACGAGGCACGTTAATTTTGTTTTATCTATATGTGTTTGTTTGGGTATATGTTTATAATGTTGATTGTGAGTATTGATTATGCTTAAAATTAGTTTTGAGGAAAATGTTATTATTGAATACTTTGAAAGAAAATTATTTTTGATCGACTAATTACCAAAAACGTGTAATAGGCCAATCATATATAGGGTATAAGTGTAAAGATAAAATATGAGCAAAAGTGATTTTGAATGAAGTGGAAGCAATTAATTTTATTTTAAGTTAGCAATTCAATAGCATAAATTTAAGTCATATAATGTTTAACTCAGCTCATCATTATGGTTCCGGTATTGATCCAAACATGCATTGAATCAATTGACTATGCTAAATGATGAGGGTAAAAAATTAAACCCTTAATTTTGGGTTTTTAAATTTTTATAAAAATATTAATTAGTATGATTTATTTATTTCATAAGAGAGGTTAAGTAATTTTATTTTGCACAAACCTTACCTATAATTGTTTAAGTGCAGATGGTGATGTTGTTAATCAAAATGAGAGTTTTATTTTAATAATATGTATAAATTATATATAAATGAGATTTACATTAAATACAAGTGCATCTTATCAAAGTAAAATTTAATTTTGATTGAAAAAAAGCATCAATTACATTTTAAAAAATATATACACAAATTTTCTCATTTTATTTTATATATTTTTAAGTCAGGTTCTCATCATTGATTATTGATTATTAACAAAGTTATTTAGTTCAAACGAGCTCAATACTATATTTGCGTTAACTTATTCAATTCTCACATTCTAATAAATATAACATGACTAAAATGTTTGTTGCATTTCTTGTTTAACCACATTTGAAAGTGGTGTACTTATAGAATTTTAATTAATTGGATTTTGCCTTAAAAAGAAACGACATTTGAAAGTGATAACGCACACAGTTTTGAGTTAAACGAATCTAAGAATTCAATCATTTCCTTAATTCATCGTAACAAAATTCATTATTAACGATAATTATTTAATAATAATAAATTAATTATTTATATTTTATTATCTAATAAAAATATTAATAATTAATAAATAATAATTATTAAAAAAATATTTATACTATATTAAAATTTATTATTAACAACAATTATTTAATAATAATAAACTAAGTATCTTTATTTTATTATCTAATTAAAATATTAATGACTAATAAATAATAGTCATTAAAAATATATTTATAAGAGTAATTATTGAAAATGACCAGTAAAAAAGTAAGAGCAATTTTTAGTTTATTTTATTGATAAAAATTTAAGTCTTACATTAACTAGATATCAGATAATTAAAGAGTATATAAATGGATGATAACTTTCACCTAAAAAATTGATTTTGTAGGGTTAAGTCAGACTCATAACTCACTATTTTAAGATAATATAAGATCATCCACCAATTATTACCAAGCTCAATAGTGTTAAATTTGAGAAGATGTTTTTGGGAAAATCTAAGTCACACATCAATTATAGATATAAAATAATTAAAGAGTATATAAATAGAGGTCAACCCTCACCTTACAAGTCTTAACCGACTAGAGATAAAACAATTAAATAATAGTATATAAGCTAGAAATCCTTTTTTTAAAAGAAAAACTTAAGTCTCATATTGACTAGAAATAAGAAAATTAAAGAGTATATAAGTAAAAGGCAACCCTAACCTCATAAGTTTCACATTAATTAGAGATAAAACAATTAAAAAGTATGTAAACTAAGAATCATTTCTTAAATTTTTAGTGACAATAGTAAAAATTATTAAATTCTAGTAAAAAGTGTCATAAAAACTCATACATTTTTCTTAATCATTATAAGGGTCTTTACCAACATATAAAATAATTATTAATAAATGTTGTAGAATATTTTATAACCATTTTTATTGCTACTAAAAATAATATTAAATATCAATAAAAATTCATTTTATTGTAATAATTGTTAAGTAGTCCCACTATTTTGAACTTATAACATCAGTGGTTAGTGTGTAATTGTCGTAAAAGTAGATATTTCGTCTTGGACTTGGAATACGAATAATTTTCATCACCATCAAGTTTTGTAAAAAAAAAGAGAAAGAAAGAAAAATAAATTGCCATTTTTGAATTATGTTAAGTAAGAGATTGAGTAGTGAAAAATTAATGAAATTTTCAACAAATTGAATCATATATTAAATTAAATAAAATTAAATTGTTCAAATTTTATATAAAAGACTTTTAAAATTGGTTATTTTAGATTTTCAAATCAATTGTTTGTTTAATTTTTAGGGTTTAGGGTTTGTCTAATTTAAAAGAACCACTTTTATAAATTTAAACTTTTTAAAATCGGTGAGAATCGATTTTAAAAGTCAAATTTTAAAATCAATTATAAATAACCAATTTTAAAATTTAGACTTTTAAAATCGATATTACATAATCAATTTTTTTAACAGCTTGTTATGCAATAATAGGTAGGAAAGCTCCCCATCAAAAATAGACCTTCCGACTCCAACAATCGCTTCAACAATTTCGACAATACTTGCTCCACCCTTTACGTTAGCACCTCTTCCATCCCTACCCATAGTCCCCTCCTCTCCTTCTTCTACAACACCCTCACCAAACTAATGCCCTTTGCCATAACTGCCATATCCTCTTAATGGAACACCCACCTCTGTCACCCTTATTGACTACAAGTTCAAATTCTTTGCCTGGTTCAACTCTTCTATTTTAGTTGGGTCTACTTCAATGAACTTTTCCTCAATGACCAAATCTACCCAATGAAGCTCTCCACCCACCTCAAAGTACCCCAAGTTTTGGCCCCTTTATTACATGTAGAAGAAGAAGAAGTTAAGGATGAGACCATTAGCATCAATGTCATCCAAGGCAGAGATCGGAGGCTAATAGACAAGCCCCTTGGTAGAAAGATTAGATCAACATCCCCTCTTAGGACCAACACGCCTTTGAATTGGGTCGAACACGAGGACCACATTCCCTATAACCATAACCATAACCAAACCCTAAGGAACCAAATCACTAAAGGCATGAAAAAAGTCAAAGATAGTTTTGGGTTTGGAGACTGTTCTCACCTGAGATGGTTTAGTGCCAACCTTCCTTGTTGAGATTGCCGAGTCTCTTCTGCTTTGTGATTCGTTGCTACGATGGGGGAAACACCCAAAAAAAAGACTCCGATGCTTAAGTTAGTATTTTTTGGACAATGTGGGTATTTGTTATATAATGCTTATATATACCTGGGTGTTTTTGAGGGTTATCTTGATAATGAATTTTGAGGTTGTTACGATTCGATGTTGTCATCATATTCTATCTTTCCTCTTTTTGACTAAGGGTTGATCTAGCATTCGAGGGTCGATGTGGCTTTGATATCATGTCACGGCCTCTGCTAAATTGGACCTTGTTGTAATTCAAGAATTGTGTGTTTTGCTGTACACACATCAATCTTATTTATAGGGAGAATACAATAAATGATAAAGATACTAATCTATAATACTTTGGAAACTAATATAATCATATCCCTAATTGATAGCTAGGATAATATCCATAATATTTGTATCAACAATATCTGTAACATATCCACAATATCTATAACACTCCCCCTCAAGCTGGAGCATATATATCATATGCACCAAGCTTGTTACAAATGTAATCAACCCGAGGCCCTTTAAGCGATTTTGTGAACACATATGCTAATTGGTCACTAAAGCGGACAAATTCAGTGGTGATCTCTCCTGAAAGTACTTTCTCTCTTACAAAATGGTAATCTATTTCTATGTGCTTAGTTCGCTCATGGAAGATTGGATTGGAGGCAATGTGGAGAGCAGCTTCATTATCACAAATTAGTTTAGTTCCTTGGGTGTCTCCAATTTGAATTTGCTTGAGAAGTTGTTGTAGCCATGTAATTTCACTTGCAGCTGTTGCATAGGATGATATTCAGCTTTTGCAATGGATCTAGCAACTGTAGTTTGCTTCTTGCTTCTCCATGAAATTAGGTTGCCTCTAATTAGAACACAATAGCTAGAGGTAGACCTTCTATTTGATGGTGATCCTGCCCAATCAGCATTAAAGTAATAGAAAATTTAATATCCAATTGATGTAGCAACCAATGACAAATTGTAACCATAGCAAGAAACAAACGAATAGACATCATCTTGGCGACAGGGGAGAAAGTATCCCCATAATTTAGGCCATAGATTTGAGTATAGCCCTTTGCAACCAATCATGCTTTAAAGCGATCAATGCTACCATTCGGCGCAACTTTCACCGTGTACACCCATCGACAACCAACGATAGACTTGTCAGCTGGTAAAGGTACCAACTCCCACGTGCCACTAGTCTGCAAAGCATTCATTTCATCCAGCGTCGCTTGTGTCCATCGGGAATAAGGCATAGGTTCACCTGTAGACTTGGGGATAGACACAGAATCCAAAGAGGAAACAAAAGAAAAGTAGGAGGGAGACAATCGATGACAAGAAAGAGTACATGCATATAAAGGGTGAGGATTGTGGGTAGATTGGATACCTTTACGAATGGCAATGGGTTAACTCAGGCAAAGGATGTTCAAGGGCAAAAGGCGTTGTCAGATAGTCGGTTGGAGCAAGAGATGAAGTTGGGGGAGTTGTATATGGAACCACCTATGGATGTCGTGTCCTTCACCGATAGACATGTAATGGTGGTGGATCAGTGACTACAGCCTTTGTCGGAGTTGGAATATTAGGTTGATCATCCAAAGAAGTATGACTAGTCATATCCTCAGAGAAGAAAGGAGAGGATGACTCAAAGAATGAAACGTCAATAGAAACAATATAACATTGAAGTTGTGGACAAAAGAAACGATATCCTTTCTAGAGTCGAGAATACCCAAGAAATATACACTTGAGGGACCTAGTAGAAATTTTATCTTTACCCGGGGTGAGATCATGGACAAAACATGTACATCCAAAGACACGAAGTGGAAAAGGATAAAGATCATTTTGTGGATACAATATGGTGTATGTGATTAATCAAGTAACAAGCAGTAAGAATTGCATCACTCCAGAAGCAAAGTGAAACTTTATGATGAAGGAGAAGAGTATAAGCTATCTCAACTAAATGACGATTTTTGTGTTCAGCTACACGATTTTGTTGTGGAGTGTGGGCATATAAGAGGTCTGATGAAGAATATCCTGGGAGGAAAGAG